GTCCGACTTTCGCTTAGGTCATGATCTGGCGGTTCGTGGGTTCGAGCCCCGCGTCGGGCTCTGTGCTGACTGCCAGCTCAGAGCCTGGAGCCTGTTTCAGAGTCTGTGACTCCCTCCCTCTCTGATCCTCCCCTGCTCACGCTCTCTCTCTCTCTCTCCTGGAAATAAATAAAACATTAAAAAAAATTAAAAAAAAAAAAGACACTAATATATTTGTAAAGATACTGGGATAGCTGCTAGCTTACAGATTTGAAGGATGTAACAGATAAGACTCCATCAGGCATGAGGGTGGCTGTGAAGACCTCACCCAGTGATAGGGATTTGGAGACTTTTTCTGTAAGAAGAGACTGTTCTGGTGACTTAGTGCCAGCCAACCTCCATTTTCTATGTGTCTAATACTTAAGGTTGAAATCCTCAGAAGAAAAAAACCACATTTGGTCACTTTGGACAGCATCTGTCCCTTGAATAGTCAGAGCTGTTGCTAGGGAAGTAAGGGCTCAGAAAGCACACATCGGCCCCTGGGTGTCCTCCCAGAGAACGACCAGCGAGGAGAGCAGCCATCCCAAATGCCCTCCCTTTCTAGTTCTGCTCTAATTGCTTGGTGTCTGGTCTGTTCCTGTGTCTCCTTTCAGTTCAGCTGCCCCTTTACTACTGGAGTTACCGTCTACTACAGTGATTCTCAAATATCCCTGTGCAAGCAGCAGTAGCATGGGCTTGGGAACTTGTTAGAAATGCAGACTTCCAGGTCCTAAACCTGTTAAATCAAACTCGAGGTGTGGGACTCTGCTTAGGAAGTCAACCAGAGGATTCTGATTCATGCTGACATTGGAGAATCAAGGATCTACTAAATCTGATCATAGTATTTACGCAGTTTAAAAAATTTTAGTGTCTCAACTATCCATATATTCCAGAGTTCTTCCTCATGGCATGAAAGGTCCTGGGGTCGCAGTCGAGCCTGATTGTGCAGTCATTTATGCCACCCCACTCCTCATGCACGTATATGCACACACTCACCTTTCTCTACATCCTGTCACACAGAACTTTGCTGAGCCTTTTCCTGGACTGCCACCTGGTAAATTTCTGCTCTTCCATCACTTCCTCTATAATGCTTTTGCGCCCCCCCCCCCCTTCCCTAGTCGCTTTCTGCCTTGGCCCTTGGCTGTGTTTCTCACAAGGCTGTAGACATTGTGATTAGCTGTTTAACCATTAGTTTACCTGTACAGCTCCACCACTAGAGTGTGAACTCTGAACTCCCTCAAGGTAGAGACTTCATTTCATTGATTCTTTTGTCTCACTATAACAAGGATTATGTGCTTGGTCAAATATTTTTTATTTTTTTATCATGAACCTTTAAGCATACCAAAAGGTAAAGAATATGGTAATGAACATCTTTTAACCCATCACCAGAATTTACCAACTTAACATTTTGCCACATTTGCTTCCTCTTTTTTTCTAAGTGTTTCTAAGTAAATGCTTGTTGTATCGTTACATTTTGCCATTATAGTCTTTGTATTTTAGTATTAAAAGCCAGAAACATTTTCATAAGTTACTGTAATATCACATATCATTGACAGTTCCCAAATATCCCAAACCTATTTGGTTTCCTTTTTTCCACAAAAGGTCTTTTAGATCGGCTTTGTTCTATCAAGGACACACACTGCGTATGAGGGAAGGTCTCTAAGGATATTCTAATCATTCTAGAATAGCCCTTCTTTCTTTCCATTATTCAGTGAATAAATCTTAACCTTTTCTTTTTTTAAATTAAAATTTATTAATTTGAGAGGTGGGGGGAGGGGCTGAGAGGAAGGAGAGAATTCCAAGCAGGCTCCACACTGTCAGCACAGCGCTCACTACAGTGTTAGAACTCACGGACTGTGAGATCATGACAGAAGCTGAAACCAAGAGTCAGACACTTAACTAACTGAGCCACCCATTAGCCCCTAAACTCCTAACGTTTCTCCTCACTCATGTGGGATACCATTAGTCCCAGATCAGTGATAGTACTAAGGAGTTGGAATGATGTACCTGTAGGTTCAGAAAAATTGTCTCATGTCCCAAATCCGTGATTTGCAGCCAATAAATCATTCCCGTAGCAAGCAGTATGCACAAGAAGCCAGTATCACAATAGCTAGAGAAATAGGGGAGCTACTTAGGATGTGGGCTTTGTGCGTATTCAGTTGGTATTTTCTCCATTTTGTCTTCAGCAAATCACTGGAAAAGCTATAATTCATTTAACAGTGACTCTCTTTATACCTAGAGGCTTGAGTCTTCAGGATTTGGTAACTTCACCTTGTCCATTTCCTTCTATTGTATTATATACTAGCTTTTTCCTTAGCCTTTTAGGATCATGAGCTTTGACAGAGTTTTTGAGCAATAAATGTCATTTTTATGCTCTCTAATTTGCGTAGAATCTTAATCCAATTTAAATAGGAAACACAAATTTGCATTGGGAGGTTTAATCCCACAATTGAGAAAAGTCTCTTTTAATCTTTATTTACAAATAGTTCTTTTTTTTTTTTTTTTTAAATTTTTTTAATGTTTTATTTATTTCTAGGAGAGAGAGAGAGAGAGACAGTTTGAGCAGGGGAGGGTCAGAGAGAGAGGGAGTCACAGACTGAAACAGGCTCCAGGCTCTGAGCTGGCAGTCAGCACAGAGCCTGACACGGGGCTCGAACCCACAAACCGCGAGATCATGACCTAAGCGAAAGTCGGACGTTTAACCGACTAAGCCACCCAGGCGCCCCTATTTACAAATAGTTCTTAAGTTTCATTACATTAAGAGAAAAAGAAGAAGGATATTTTAAAATAATTCCTTCAAGATAGTCCTGAAGGGAGGAAGAACTGACTTTGAGTTTAAAGCATAACAGTATGTAAATGCAGAGTCTGAATTTTCCTTAGGAGCTGCTCGTTGCTGTCTGTAGCTTTTGAGATTTAATTGTTAAGAATTCTAGTGATCAAATACCCAGGCTGTACACCAGTTGAAGAAGACTATTCCTGTGGGTTGAGTCACCTGTGATAAGGGAAGAGGTGGGATTAGAGATTGGGCTGGTGAGGAAGGGAAAATTTATCTGTGTGAGGCCATAGAATAGAAAAGAATACTGTGAAGTATTTAGAAACTAAGGCCCAGGAAAGAAAATTGTTAGCAAGACCAGCTGGCGCTGCCATAACAAAATACCATAGACTGGGAAGGTTTAAACAACAGACATTTAATTCTCTCAGTTCTGGAGGCGAGAACATCCAAGATCATGTTAATCAGCAAATCCTCTATCTGGTGAGAATCCTCTCCCTTGGGTGCAGTCCTCACTGTGTGCTTTTGGAGAAAGGTCTCTTGGTGTATCTTCCTTCTCTTCTAAAGTTATACTACCAACCCCATCTTAGGGGCCCACCCTTAAGCTCTTCTCTAAAGCCAGTCACCTCCCAAGACCCCACTTCCCAATTCCATCACATTGGGGGTGAGGGCTTCCATCTATGAATTCTGGGAGGACATCAGCACTGAGTCCATGACACCAAAGCATATGATTTGAAACACCCTGGTACACTCTTAAGAAAACTAGACTGACTATTAAGGATACATTATTTATGTCAGCACGACCTTTGTACATTCCAGAGTTGGCCCTGATAGAGATGTCAGTGTTTGTAGTTCATCGTGAACCTGTGTTGGTTTGGTCCCCGTCCTCGGGGAGACTGTTGGCTGTCCCTGTAGTCAGATTCGGAGGCTTCTCGGTAGCTTTCTTCTCAAATTGATAATCATACGGATCTGCAGAAACTCTCCCTTCTGGTGACCATGCAGGTGTAAGAAAAAGATGTCGCTTCATTATGAGGAGAATTTTGGCAAATTATAGGCAAGAAAGGAAAAAGTTGATTTTGGAAGGCACCGAGTCCCCCCTTAACTTGGCAGTAATCTTTACCTGACAGCATTTGATGTGAAATCACTCTGTCCAGAGAATAATCTTATTAGGCTTTAATTAAAAGCTCAAGGTGGTTTTTTCCCCCCCAGGTCTCTCTGTCTTCCTCTATCTTTTTTTTTTTTTTTTTTTTTTTTTAATCTTCTCTGTTTCCTTCCATTTCCATGTTCTCCCTGCCCCTACTCCCCCCGCCCTCCATCATCCTTTAACATTTAAAACGGTTTTGGCTTGGCTTATCCCTCTGGATAGAAACTGAGCTGAGCAGGATATTGATTACCAAATATGGTATTGCTGCTAAAGATGTTAGAGGAATGTGGCTTGTATTCTAAGCCTCCGGCCTCTGAATAAGCTGCCAAACAAATTAGGTCATTTTAACTTCTGAGCTTGCCTTTTTTTTTTTTTTTTTTTTTAAATAAGGAGCTGGAACTTTGATTTGGAACATGATGGTGGTGTTATTTTAGCTCATAGGGAGGGAGGGATATGAAGAGGAGGTCGGGAGTCGGAGAGGCTTAATTCAGCAGGTTTTAGGACGCGAGCCATCAGTCCAGGCGGTATAAAAGGCAAGCATGTTATACAGAGCCTCGGTCGACTCTGCAGCCCCAGTGGAGGAGCTGAGGCTTGGAATTCAGACGTGCAGCCTCATTTTCTGAGGCTAGAATCTCCAGATGACCATTGACCGGTCCCAGGATGCTCTTCTCATGCTACAGCGGCCTGGACCACAGTGCCCAGGGTTCAGAAAGTTCCTTCTTGGGGAAGCAGCAAGTACAATACAAGTTGGCTTCAAAAAAAAAAAAAAGTTCTTTCTTCACAGGAAGGTTGGTGGAGTTTAGTGCCAGGGAGGACACCCTGAAATTGATGGCAGATGGGCGGATCGCTACCACGTGTAGTGATGGGGTGTTGTGTGAATAGGCATAGCATACCTTTAGCCAGGGACTGCACTTGTCTCTCCGCAGAGATCACAGCTCTTTGGGTCCATATTTGGAAATATTTATCCTCTTGTGATCCTAGCTTTGATAGCGGCAAATGCTCTTACGTGGAAGCAGATGAAAGGAAACTCTGCTTCAGAATGTGACTGTATTCTTTTTCCTCATACAGGTCTTTGGCAAGATGATACTAAAGTTTTCTAAGGTAAAATGAAATAAAAACTGAGAACAGTTAGGGAGAGAGTTTCTTTTTACATTTCTTAATACCTGGCACCCCATTTTTGCTTTTTGTTGTTGGTTTGGGCTGTATGGAGTGGATTCCTTCTCTTCCCTCCCACCGCTGTGTGCACCCTTCAGTTGGTCTCTTCTCAGAGAATGGGTAAATCAGGCTCACAGAGAAATTCCACCCACTCCAGGATGTCTGTAGGTCAGGGCTCTGTGGCTTTTGTTGTATCTCCCTGAAGACCTCTCTTTCTTCCTCCCCCCCCTCTTATTTCTCTTACTACAGTTAACCATCCAGTCACAGGCCCTTCGTCCCATCTTTGGAGCTGAACCTGTAAAGCTCAGAGTTGTTCATCCTGGTCTACAGAGTCAGAGATTCTTACTAATTTCTTGTGGATATTGCTCTGACTTTTCTTCATGCTAATTAAGTAGGAAGGGGACTTTGGGGTTCCAAGCTCACATGTACCCTAAGCGGAAAACCTGTGTTCTTAGGATACTCATTTTCAGAAATCCACCCTCTTTCCAGAGCATACCATGCAGACAGACATGGGACATGAGCCTCTTTTGGATGCACATTTATATACTATCCTGGGATGTCTTTTTGTTACTGTTGTTGGGGTCCAGAATGCATAGCACTGGAAAATAGGTAGGAATATTTGTTATGCTTAGTAATGGAGGCATTCTTGAGTGGTGGGAAGGTTTCAAAATAGATTTATAGTGCCCTAAATCTTGTGTTGGCCCTAAATCTTGCGTTTTATAATGTTTGCAATTATTGAATATGTTTTGTTTTAGGTTAACTGTAGTAATAGGGTCAAGGGTAATTGAAATTAATACCTACCCCCCTTTGGTCCATATAATCTGTTGTCTCTAACCATGTAGCTGATAAGCCAGCTGTAATCAAAACTGGGATGTTACTACCTCAAGACATTAAGACTTTATATAACTTTATTAGCTACCTGGAATTAAATGATACTAGTTACATTGAAATCTTGAATCTTAGTTCCTGTTTTAGTAACTCAGTACTACCATGTATCACCATTATGAAAGCCTTCTAGTTATAAAGGGAGGGGAATTTTCTCTGTAAGTGATTAAACTGAGGCATTGAAGAATAACATTGTTCAGTGTCAGAATGCTAGTCAGGGCCTGGGTCTCCATGATTTCCAGTATTATACAGAGCTTTACCGTAATTATTTTGTTCTTATTGGTAGCCATTAATTTAAGTTTTTATGCTAGGAATTTGCTGGCCCATAATTAATACTTGAACCTGGGGGCACCTGGGTGGCTCAGTCGGTTAGGCATCCGACCTAGGCTCAGGTTCATGAGAAACCTTGTGTTGGGCTCTATGCTGACAGTGCGGAGGCTGCTTCGGCTCCTCTGTCTCCCTCTCTCTGCTTCTCTCCCGCTGGTTCTCACTCTCTCTTTCTCTCTCAAAAATAAATAAACTTAAAAAAACAAAACAAAAAAAAACCCAAAACACCAAAAAAGAAAAAAACTTGATCCTGGAGGTTTTTGTTCAAGAAGAAATAGTTGAAAAAAACATGTAACTAAAAATTTTTAATTAAGTAAGCAAAATCTCCCCTGACTTTCTGGACATGGGGTATTACAGGTTTTCATGTATTGTGCATAAGTAGTGAGAACGAGAGCTCTTGCTGACCTTTTTTCCTGATAGCCCAGGATTTAATGGTGTGTTTATTTTGTCACCATTCCGGTTTGACTCTAAGGAAATGAAAACATCTTCCATTTGTTCTTTATTTCCAAAGGGCATCCGCTTCGATCCTGAAATTCCGCAAACACTACGACTAGAGTTTGCTAAGGCAAACACGAAGATGGCCAAGAACAAACTAGTAGGGACTCCAAACCCCAGTACTCCTCTGCCCAACACTGTACCTCAGTTCATTGCCAGAGAGCCATGTAAGTCCATCTACTTTTCATTTAAAAAAAAAAAAGAAAATAACCGAGAATTGTTGGTGTGCCGCATGTGAAATTACACCACAGGACATAGAGCTGTATGAGTGTCATTTTCCAATTCTGTGAAGAGGCTGTCTATTTTTGCTGTCTTAATTCCAAATACAGCAATCTTGTTCATGATTGGCTGTCCTAAAAGGCGGTTCATCTGGATTAGAACTGTAACTACTACCGAATTTCATTCAGTGTGCTGTAGATTTCCTTAATGTTATCTCGACCTTGTTGTAAGGGTGTTCTGTTTGCTTGAGGGTAGAATCCCTTCTTTATTCCCCCATCCCTGGATATGAGAGTTGGTACTCGGCATTTTACTTCATTTGTTGAGGAACATTAGTCCTCTGGCTTGAGAAAGTAGAATATTAAAAGCAAGAGAAGCCGATACTAAGTTTTATTTTTGAGAATGGGTGAGCCCGTAAATCTAGGGGGAAAAGTAAACACAAAGAATTTATATTTCGGAACAATCAGTTCTAGCAAACCAGTACTGCTAACTTTAAGGAAACTTACGGCTTCCTGTTGTAAATTAACTGGGTAAGGACACTAACTAATTGCTAAACAAGTGTTTTTACCCCACCTAATGAGCTTATGCCCTTAAATGGCCAGGCTACAGTTTTGCCTTTGATTGAATAACTTGAAAAGATTGTCTTAATTTTCTTTCTCAAACTCCATCAGTAGCATAAGTGAGGCGTGAGATAGGCCTCAACTTTTCCTTTCATTTCATAGCCATATGTGATTTAATATGGCAGGGCATTCAAGGAATCCCAAGTGACTTGCTGTTATTTGGAATATTTTTGCCCTATCGTTCTTGATCTTCTTTCCCAACCACATGATCTTGATCTTGCTCCTTTCCTTGTCAGTACGTTTTGAATTTTCTCATTGAAATTGTAGAGCACATGAGTTTCCTTCTCCCCCCATGTCGTGTGAGTGTCAGATTTAATCAGGTTATTGTGGAAGTTACAGTCATTCTGTAGCCATGTAACTCTTGAGAAGGCTGCCACTTGTCAGTGGAAACTAACAGATTAGAGTTTTCTCCGCCAGTGTGTTCTAAAATTTTTCTGTGAGGCCAGAAGTCAGAATAGAGAAAAAGTTCTGTTCTTCCATGTCCTAGGGAAATCTGAAACCTTTTCTAAACAATAGTTTCATTTTACGGTACAGGTGCACTGCAAGAAGATGAGTGGACATTTCTTACATGATTGTGTGTCCTTACAGCATCCAGTCCATAACCTTTTGTATATTTATTTAGTATTAATTGCAGTGATAAATTGATAGACTAATATTTTAATTTGGCCATTTGCAGAGTTATTCCATTTGTATGCCTCTTCATTTCCCACCGAAATTTCTTCTCTCTTTAGATATCAGGAAAAAATATTGGTAAGATACCTTGATTAATAAGAAGTAACCTTGAATACCTCTTTAGTTTTCTAGTAAATTTGCTGCCTCGGATCCAAGAGTGCTTTGAAAAGATTGATTCAGACTGCAAATGTAAGGCTGGCAATACTTATCCTTTCAATTCTTCATTGAATTCATTGCTTTGTTCCGGGACCTTTTGTTTTGTTTTGTTTTGTTTTCAATCTGCTATAAAAGCTCTGTGAAATTGGTAGCCAGGATGGTGATAGCCAGTTCATAACAGGGTACACAGAAGCAACAGAGGTGAAAAAGTGGACATCGAGAAGTCTCTGAAGTTGTAGGAGAGCTTGGCGCAGAGTTTAGAACACCATTTCTACCCTTCTACGCCAGCTCTACCCACCTCCCTTCCCTGTATACAAAACAGCTCAGAAATGGTCACATAGTTACCATGGCGTGGTCAAAACTTGCCTGGGCTGCCCGTGGCAAAACAAACTTGAAGCTTAAAAAAAAAAAAAATTCACACACCAGTATATTCTTGAGAAAATAAAAGTTATCACAGTATTTCTTAATATAGCTCCTTTTTACGACAGAGGCTGATGAACAGCAATTCCACTCTGACTCAGATTGACCTTATCTATCATCCATTGCAATTCCCTCTGGGAATTGTGAATTTCCCTGTCACATATGCTGAATTGTTTTCCTGAGAGCACACTGCCGACTGAGAACACTGTGGTGTGGTTCTTCTCTGGCAATTCCAGTTGCACCATGACTGTGATTGGTATTCAAGGTGTGGTGGTCAGTTCAGCCACTGTTAGGAGAAGGCTGCAGTGGAATCTTTGAATTGTGGGACTGGAAAAACCCTAAAGGCTTCTCTGTTCTAGATTGTGAGAGAGATGGGTTTTTTGGTTTGTTTTTGTATTTTAATTATTTTGAGAGAGAAAGAGAGAGGGAGAGCGCAGGAGAGAATCCCAAGCAGGCTCCGCCCTATTAGTGTGGAGCTGGACTCAGGGCTCAAGCTCACGAAACAGGAGATCATCACCCGAGGCAAAATCAAGAGTCTGACTCTTAACCAACTGAGCCGCACGGGTGCCCCAAGAGAGAGGTTTTTTAATGTTTCTTTTAGTTGATGTGTTTATATAGTTGTGGCTGAAAAGTGCCCATTACCATCACTAAAGGAAGGATGTGCAGGATTCAATTATACAACCTGTATTTTACTTGAACTCTGATTTCTCAGATACCTGTTGAACTGCAATGAGCACTCCGTGTGCTAGACATTGTGGAAGAAGGGGACTGGTTGGTGTCTTAAAAAAGCTATCAGTCCAAGAGATAGGTGGTGGTCAAAGTCGTCAGGCAACTTGGCCCATAGAAAGGCTGTAAAAGATTTTTTGCCTCTTAGTCTAGATTGCTCCAAATCAGACTGCCTTATTTGTTGAGCACCTGCTCTATTTGTGTAGAGCATGAGAAAACTAGCTACTGCACTTGCCAAGGCAGATAGTGGCCTAGACTCAAAGATGTCAGTAAGAGTTCTGGTTCTGCCAGTCATTGTGAAGCTCCGTAACCTTCAAGAAAAACATTGAACCTTGCTGTGTTCCTCCTGTTCCCTTGGCTATAAAATGGGAATAATACCTTCCTCACGTGCTTTTTATGAGAGCTAAATAAAACAAGATCCTAAGATTGTGTTGAGGATTGTAATGGATGTAATATACAGAGTACCAGGCAGACATAAAGTACGATCTTAATTTTGTAAAAAAAAAAAAAAACAAAAACACACAAAAAAACACATTGGTTTGCTCTTCTTTCCTAATAGTTAAAAAAGTAGGTATTGATCTTCTGAAGCACTGTCACTGTGACTATAGCTAATTGTCTTTGCAGATTAGGTGAGAGGATGAATGGCAGTCCTATACAGTCCCAGGAAAGTGTAGTATACTTTACTAATGAAATAATTTCCTAATGAAGTTTGAACTTCTTATTCCCTTGTGTGTGATAAAGAAAAGTACTGTGAGAAAGCTGGAAGTAAGAGATACAGAAAATTTTTATATAAAACTCTGCTAGATTATGCAATTTGCTTGTACAGGAAAGTAGTGTTCTGCAGTGTGAGAACTCCACTTTAGAGCCAAAAACAAAGCAAATCACCTTCTCTGAGTTTTGTTCTCATCTGTAAAATGATGTGCCAGACACTGCCAGGCATTTTACTTGAATTATCTCATTGGATTCTTATTAGCACTGTTGTGCAGTTGAAGAAACAGACCTTGGAGAGATCCAGTAATTTTGAGGTTACACCGTCATTAGGCATTATGGGTTGACTTGTGCTCTGCCAAAATTCCTGTGTTGAAACTCCAACCCTCAGTGGCTCCAGATGTAAGTGTATTTGGAGATGAAGTTTTTAAAGACGTGATTAAATTAAATGGGGCCATTAGGGTGGGCCCTAAGTCAATATGACTGGGTTTCTTGAAGAAAAATAGATGCCGGGGATGTGTTCACACAGGAAAGGCCTGGTGAGGACACAGTAAGGAGGAGGCTGTCTGCAAGTCAAGTTACAGAAGCCTCAGGAGAAGCCAGACCTGCCCCACCTCTGTCTTCAAACTTGTAGTCTCTAGAACTGTGAGAAAATTCATACCACGCAGTCCATGGTATTGTGATAAGCAGCCGGAGCAGGCTAACACACCGAGCGATAGAGCCTGGATTGAACTTCTGACCTGTTACTTTTTACTTTTGTAAATTGGTCCGGTGACTTAACCTCTCTCGGATGTGTCCTCTCTAAAATGGCAGTAACAGTTACACCTACCCATAGGGTTGTGAGGATTAATTAACTGCTCCGTGACTGTTTCATATGTGCGTGTAAGAACATATATGTTGTGCCTTCTGTTCCTCTTAGTTGAGACTGTAGTTTTCCTGCGTTTGTGTCCTCCGCATCTAGCACCTAGAAGTACGTGTAAAATCAAGATGCTACAGATTCTTAGTTTATGCTTTTTCATTTGGAACTTTAAAAATTTATAGTGTTATTGGGGCATGATAGGGAAACGATAAAATGCACATATTTAGAGTCAATTTTGATAAGTTTTGTCATACTACATAGGGAATTTAGTTGACTCCATGCCCTTGGTCTGTTTGCACTGCTTGTGACATACCATGTTTATCATAGTGGCTTTAAAGGTAGAGGCAGCCAGTCAGTACGTACAGAGCTTTTACTCAGACAGATTTTCCCCATTCAAGTTGAATTTTATGGAGCAGGTATCAAAAGGCTCTAGAACGTTGCAGTAAATCAGATTCCTGTAGTCCACCCCCAGGGATTCTGATTCTATGGGTTTGGTCTAGGACTTATGCTCTGTATTTTTAAAAACTCTTTGGGTGGTTCTGATGCACACATTTGAGAATCCCCAGCAGAGCAAGGAATTGTAAAGTTAGAGTCTCCTCCCGCTCACTCTTCTGTTTCCCTTCTCTCCCTGCCCCCCCACCCCCTGCAAAAACAAAACGTACCTCTGTTGATACTCTTATTAAATTTTACCTGTTAAGCACATAATCCCTTGGTGAATAATCAGACCACTTCCTTGATTTCTGCCATACCATTGGAATTTCCCATTTATCCAGTGGGAAAACATGTGGAA